ATAATAGAGTATAGTTTGTTACGAGAAAAAATATATAAATGAAATTTTTTCTATTTTTATATACTATTGAAACGTAAAAGTCACTATGGCGATAAGAATTCATCAGAATGTTAAAAAAAATTGTTTTCATAAAATTTTCAATTTACCAACAACTGAAGTGTATAAATCTCCAACTTTAATCTTATTGTAATCGGTATTTAATACATGTACACAGATTAAGGTCGGAGCAGGTACTGGTTCGTCCGGAAAACCTTATCAACTTGGAATGAAGAAAAATAAAAAAATAAATTGTACTCAACACAACTGTGATCTATCCTTTTGAAAAACAATAAAAACCTTGACTCAAACCTTCTTGCCTGTGAAATTTTTCTCTCATACATTCCACTAGGTTTGAATTATACGAATGTACGAAAAATTTTCGAGTTGGACACTTTTGGGCCGTAATGAAAGGACCCTCGTTAATTTGAGTGCATGTTCTGAAAAAAATCTAGAAATGAAACGCTGTAATATAAATTAAAATGCCTAAACGAGTAGCTTCCGTCACTAGTGCGTACCAATTTGAATCACAATATCACCTCATGGCTGCAGTAGAAAAATCAATATTCGGTCAGACGGACACGTGTACTCTTAAGTACAATTGTCCTCACTTCAAAAATAAAACTTTTCTATCGAAGCGTTACACTTGTTTCACCCATTATACCGTGCATATTTATAAAAAAAAAAAAAAAAAAAAAAAAATGTACCTGCGAAAGGAAAGAAAATTGCACGCGACCCGGAGAGTTGGCAGGAGTAGTTTGGGGGGGTTGACGAGGAAGGGGTGGAAAATGCACAAGCCGAGTAGTGCTTGCGGGAAAAGCTTCGTTAGGCCTGCCGTNTGCATATTTATAAAAAAAAAAAAAAAAAAAAAAAGTGAAATTCAAGAAAATAGCATCGTACATGCCCAATTCGTCATGAAAAACTAGAGATCTGAACCAAAGATATTCGTACGAAGCATTTCAACAAAGTACCCTGACTGTCACATTCGCAAGAAACGTCAAAGGCTCCGGGCAAAGCTTGTCGGAAGCTGGGAGGGTCAAAGAAAAGGGGACGGGTTTACATTTTCTGCCACTGCGCGAAAATACCGCCAGCGCGTTTTTGCCCTTTGCTTCCATTTGCACTCGCAATCCCACTAATCGGTAGTCTACATGCAAAAGGACTGATTTTTCGGACAAAAGCTCGGCTGATTCAACGTGAGAGAGAAAATAGTTTAAAAAAAAGTATGTACAACGTTTGCGGTGAAATCTGTGGCCCATTGTGTAAATACTTTTTGAAGGATTATGTATCCTTATGAAAAGGTCTCTGGAACTCTTGCATCTCCGCTGCTTTGACTGAATAGTATTATCTGTATGTTTCATTGAAAGACAATGTCTTCGCAGTCAAGAATATACGTTTGCTAAGATAATTTGATTAAAATAAAAAAAACATTCATTCATAAAAATACTGCTCGTCGCAAGAGAATGTTTACTCGGTTGTAGGAAAATTTTTATTTTCAGTCCATCGTGTAATCATTTGGTAATCACAATAGTTGTTTTTTTGGTGGGTTTTACTGAATAATTAAGTGGTACAAATAGTCATATTCAATTGCAAAAACTTTTTTTTTTTTTTTTTTCCAAACAATATTATTAAAATAGGAAAAATATGCATACCTGAGTGAATAATTAACTTTTTGAATCAACGATGAGTTGAAAACTTTAAGGAAAAAAAACAGAAAACAAAAAAAAAACAATTTGATAACCCAACGGTACTTGTACAAAAAATATTAATGCTGATTAACCATAGACGTGTGATTTCAAAATAACTAACAATCATATTCAAATGCCTAACATCTTAAAAATTTCATTCTCCATTATGGTAATAAAATAAAATTTTCGAAGCAAAAAACAACAAGATTTTTTTCGTACAATTAAATATCGTTGCTAGGAGAAGAAAAAAAAAGGAGCTCCAAAAATGCAACTTTTCCAACTGCAGAACCAAACATATACGTAACAAATTAAATTTCTTCCACCCGGGATCTAACGGATAAAGCCAAAATTGATAACCATATCATGCCTAAATAGCAGGGCACCCGTTCGATGACAGCCCCCAAAACCACCCCCCGCCCCCAGCTTCCTACATATTTTAATTCTCGAGTCTCAAAAAAGGCTCCGTTGATGGAAATGAAAAATTTCACCAGCCCGCCTGGAAAATACACTCCCGGCTCTTGTGAAAAGAAAGAAAAAAAAAAAAAAAATTCTCGAGTGCCGAGGGTGAAAGGCCGCGCGCACGAGCGTGAACGAAGAAGAAAGAGAAGGGGGTAGTCGGGGGGTGGTGCGTCGGAGCAAGCCACGCGACACCGCAGTAACGCTCGAACCGCGACGTGGGAAGGCTCGCGAGTCACTGTTTCGCGGTAGGGTGTGAGGTGCACGTGCTCGCCGTGATTACCTTTCGTTGCGTCTTGAGTATACTGCGACGGTATGTATACGATTGAGGAGAATATATATGATTGTTACGGGGTGACGCGCGATGTGACGACCAAGTAGGAAAGTGAAGTGAACAGTGTGGGGTGGTAAGGATAAGGAAACCGGAGTGCCGGTGGTTTTTCGGGGGAGCTTGGCAAAGTACAATACAATAATTGAGTTGCCGGTGAGGTGATGAGCAAGCCGGGTATGGCGAGGAGCTTCGGTCGCCTTTTTGCGGTGCTCTGGCTGCTCAGCTTTTATCTCGTGCTTATCGGTGAGTCTGACGCGTTGCACTATGTTTTTCAATTTAGAAAAGTTAGGGTTACCTTGTTTATTTGGAACACTTGTCCTAACAGTGGAACAAATGTTAATTTAAGGATTTTTCAACTATCCTGCATACATCCTACCGATTTGAAGTTTAACTTCAATATTAAATTTGCTGTAGTTACCAGTGAAATGGGTTTAATGGGGGAAAATTTTGTTTTACGTTTGGTTTTTCTGAATTTTTTAAGCTTCCTTAGGTATGTGGGTGTGTGTATAAAAACTTTTTCAAAACCTCCCTCGAGTGGGATTGGAACGATTTCGAAAAGTTGTTCGATACTTAGCAACTGTATTTCAAATTATTGGCCGTCCATACGAATTAAACCATTTAAAAATGACGATCTTCGTACTGATTTCACACGAGTGTAAATAATTGCCTGTTTTGCCCGTTAACGCGAATGAAATGTACAAAAACGAGAAATAAAAAAAAAGTTGACTCTTCTTATTGCAACGAAATAAAATCAAGAAATTTCTAGTAATCTCAGGTAAAATTTAAAAAACAACTATACTCATCGACAAAAATCCTTTGGCCCTACAAATTTTCGTACGCTGTCATAGTTCCGATGCGTATCAATGCAGGGACCATTATGTATTTCGACGTTAATAATCACATCGCTCCACTGGGCACGTCACATAGGCAAAAAGTCCCCAACCGCGTGTGTATATACCCACATTTACTTTATTCCTAGCACGTATCGGTGGCAACGCTATTTTCATGCTCCCCGTATTTGTAGAACAAACTCGCGTCGGGAAAATTGCCCCTAGATCGCGTACGAAAAAATGGGAAGAAAAAAAAGAAACCAAGGGTAAGTACATATGCGTGTGTGATGCCTTTCTATCTGTGCTAGATAGCGATCGAGGATTTTGTTCATCGCAGCATCACAATTGTACCATTAAACGTATTATAGATTTTACATTTGACAGCACCTCGAAGTTTAATTACAAAAAAAAATTCTAGATTCCCCGTCACTTGGTACGTGTCGTACGTGGGCTTTGGTTTCGCTCGAGTGCAACTGATGCAGCTTATAATTCTTTTTGAAACGCATAGGTTTTAGTTCATGTTGTTTGAACTCGAGACTCGTTGAGTTTTGAAACATCAAAGTTTATGACTCGAAAGTACAAAACTACCTGATTTTCAAAAATTACGGTTTATAAAATACTCGACTAAAATTCAACAAGTGAAAGCTCGATTCGAGTAAGTACTTTTTCGTAACGATTTCAATTTCCGTTGGACCGAGCGTTATTTCAAAACACAAAAAAAAATAATTCGTTAACGCAGAGGAAGCTCAATAAAAAAAAAAAAATAAAAAAAAAAGACATATACCCAACTGTGCGCAAAAGGGAAGAGCGAGTGCTTGAAAATCTCGACTGATATTACGATGTGCACACGTCCATACATGTATGCACGTATGTATACACACGGCGTTGGCGAAGAGTTTTTCTTCCCTGACTCTCTATATACGGGCAAAGTTGAATGGTTCGGTCGAGAGGAGTAGCATGCATGTGTATAGGGTACAGGAGAAACTTTTCGCCACCGACAGAGTCGGGAGGGTCCTCAGGTGTGTGTGGCTTGCCTTTTTTTCTCCCCCTCGGTGAGTATGGAACGTGACTTTCTAGCGGGAAAATATCGGGTGGACGTCGCTCTATCCATTGCCTTCTTCTTCGAAAGGGTGTGAAAATAATAAGTGAATTACTGCACCCGCGCCATCCCCGTGAATTTTTCGGTTACCTTGTTACCGCTGCGCTAGAGTTTGAGTGGCTTGGGTTTTTTTTCTTTTTTTTCAAAGTTTTAAAGTGGCGTGTGTACGTACACAAGGTCCGGGAGTTAAAAAAGTTGATATGCGTATCTACATGATTTTTTGGTAACGATGATCGGCTGAATTAAATAACGAAATGGCCATTTTGGGGCTTTTATTTTTTGACGCAAAAAATGAAACAAATCTGATACATTTCACGCAAATAAAGCTGAAAGTTTATTTCTTTATTTTATTTTTTTTTTCGAGCACGTGGATTAATTTTTTGTTCTTTCAATTTTTGTCAGTGGATATTTCGTGTATTTCACGCAGTTTCGAAACGGGATGAGTTTATTTACATTTTTCCGGCTAGAGGCTCAATATTAATATGTTTGTTGCCCAAGACTGGCTTTCCTCGGAGACCTTGCAACATCCCAATTCCAAATCACATCGAGGTTCCAGGAAAACACGCTGATCAGCGATCAAAAGTACAAAAATCATCCGCTCAACGCTGGAGATAGAAAAAAAAAAGGAGCAAACAATCCTCGGCGCATCAAACAAGCTTTCACGGCAAAATAAACACCACAATGTATGAGCTTAACGCAAAAATTCACAAAAAAACTCGATCGCCCTTTTTCCCCCCCAAATAATCCCGTAACGAGCACACCTGTACGCGCACAAGTCGACATTACCACCGCCTTTTTTTCTCCTCAACGCGGCGATGTATGGACAGAAGGTGGCGGCGACGGCGGCGAAAAGGCCCACTAAATATTTCAAGCGCGACGAAAGCAGCGAGGGCGAAAAAGGTTAATAATGCACTTGGATATGATGAAGTCGCGAAAGCGACCTGAATAATGCACGCGGTCGTGGACAGCCGATGATCGTCCAACTTTTGCGCGGCCTCCCCCTCGTTGAATAAATGATAGGAGTAGTTCATGAGGGAGTGAAAAAAAAAAAAAAAAAAAATGTACCTGCGAAAGGAAAGAAAATTGCACGCGACCCGGAGAGTTGGCAGGAGTAGTTTGGGGGGGTTGACGAGGAAGGGGTGGAAAATGCACAAGCCGAGTAGTGCTTGCGGGAAAAGCTTCGTTAGGCCTGCCGTAGGGTTTGGTTGTGGTGCTCGGCTTGTCTGCGTGTGCTCGCATTTACACGAGATTATACTTAACTATATAAATATGTATGAAAGTGAGAGGCTACGTACAATGCGATTTGAGGGTATCTATGCAGTTGGTTGTCCGAGCGTATCAAAATTCGTGCAACTATACAAACGGTCACGCAAACTCTGGGTGGCTGTGTTGTATTAAAATTGTGCGATATTTCGTTTAAAGATCATATAAAACGCGTGGGGCAGTTTTTGTGTAATTTTTTTTAAACCTATATATACATTGATGGTGAAACTTAAATGATCCGATGTTATTTTTCCCCCTGCAATGACAAAAACGTTACTTTTCGAGTAAAAATTATCACAAAAAAAAAATGTATATTCAATAAAGAAGTACTATTTACGTAGAAGATATGATATTGTTTTTGGAAAAAAAAAATGTTTATTTGGTTTAGTAATGATAATTAAATTTAGTAAAGTTTTAACTATGCTTTTAATTTATATTAGTTGCATTTGCTTGCTGAGGTTGCTTATTTGACATAAAACTATGGATACAGGGCAAGTTACACCTTACTGAAAAAATTACGAGCATTTATGCACTCTAACCTGAGGAAACCATCTCATTTAAGACTTTAATTTCAATAATTTCAATATGATTTCACATTGACTTCATTTGGGTATATTACAACGTTGATTCTAATTGAAGGATAATGTCATAAATGTATTGATTTCATGAGGTATTCGATACTATTTTATTAGATTTCATTTTATTCGTACCTTTAATATTTATTTCGGTTTATTTCAGGTTGACATCGTTGAAAAAAAAAAAAAACTCCCAATAACTTGATGAATTGCACAACTCCTACGTTGATCAACGTATGCATCTTTGACGTGTCCCTATTTCAAAAATTCTCGTATTTCTTTGGACAACCAAACCATAAAGTTTAATTTCTCGCACCCGTCGAGTAATATCAAGGAAAAGCCCTCTCGGAAGAAGTGTACGAACAAAGAAAAAAGAGAAAAAAAAAAAAAAAAGGGAAAAAACGGCTCACTCACCTCTCGTGCGTGCAATGTTGTTTTTTTTTTCTCCATTTTCCTTCCCAGCCACCGTCACATTTTCGCGGACCAACTATTAAACGCCCAGCCGAACGAGCTAACGATCCCTGTACTCGCGCGGCCCTCGTAATCAGCAAAGAAATGTTTCCACCCTCCCTCCCTCCCTCCCTCCGCTGTATCTCTTTTAATGAGCTGCAATTTACGATGCACGCTCGTGCCAGTGAATGCACATGAAGTATAATCGCACGGCGAGTTATACAGTCATAACCGTAGCTTAGCAGAGAAATGGAAGGTACAAGTGCGCCCGACTGGTATATATGGTACCCTATGCACGTAAGTGGGCGCTTGAGCGAGAATATCATCCCCCGTCACTCTCGGGAGGGGCTGCGTTTTGCCTCTCGCTGGTTTACGTACAGCCAAGAGAGAGGGAGATTGGCCTTTTTGCCGCGTGTCACACACGTGTTGGACTGGTACGTGCGGTAAATTGGAGGGAGGAGCGCCAAGGTGAACTTTGCTATGGGAGTTGTACCTATACTCGGGTAGTTCGCGGTGTCGTGAGGGTGGCTTCGTAAAACGGGAGTCGGGTCGTTCGAGGGCTGAGTTTGGTGCGATGGTTCATTCAATTTCGCATTGGAATCTTGGAAGGTCGGTCTCGCCTTTTTTTTCGATTAATTTTTTCATACAGCTAACGATTTTTTTTTTTTTTTTTTTTTTTTTTTCAAGCTTATTACTGTGCACTCGAGAATGCAAGTTTTTTTTACGCGGTTTTTTGTAATAATCAATGGTTCGACTGAGTTTTAGGGAATTTTATAGGGAAACCTTTCGCATGTTTTCACGGAATGAAATTTTACCGTAAAGTCAATTGTATAAAGTTTTTCTTGTTTAGTGTCAACACTACATTTTTACTGTTTTTTTTTTTTTCACCCCGGAAGTGTCTTTCCATACTTTTATTTTCATTTTCAACAAAAAACGTTGCTGTATGACTTTTTTAAGAAGCTCTCACTCATCAACGTGTATTGAAATAAATCCATGATACGTTTCATGTCATGATACGTTACATTTATCGTCATCATCACTGTCATTGTTTAATCGATGATGCTACGTAGCCGTAAAATTTCTAAAAAAATTTATGATCTACAAAACAAGAAATGTATTATCAATTAATCACAACTTATTATTCAACTCTATGTAAATCACCAAAGTTTTAATTCGTTTTTAAATACAATAATAATAGTAATAATAATAATGATAATCTCGGCCTCGACTGCGAGAGAGACACTTGGACGCCTAGTAGTCCTCCTCCTCGGGCCGGACCCCGGGGAACCTCCTGAGGGCCTGGGGCGGCTGTATCTGCGGTCGTCTCTGCTGCAAGGGTATGTTGACCTCCTCGGGACTGCGGAACACCTGGTTCACGGGGAGGCGGTACTGCGGCGTCGAAGCCGAGGGCTGTGGACGGCCTCCACTCGGTATACTGTTGATCGTCGGGATGGCGTGCTGGGCCACGTACACCTGATCGTCATTTTCATCATTTCACTTATCGATCGGTATGTATGAAAATTGACGGGCGGATGTGTTTACTTACCGGTCGGCGAACAGGCGAGCTTGACCGGTACTCCCCGCTCTCTCGCTCGTCCGTGTAAATGTCGGACGGGAAGTACCTCTCGCTGTACCGCAGCGTGACGTTGGGCTTGCTCTCGGCCTCGTCGAGGTTGAGCGGCTTGTACAGGTACTCGTTAACAAAGTGGTACTGCGAGCTCTTCTTGCAGTTTATGTCCCCGTTCGGTGGCATGCAAATCAGGTGGACCTGCGTTCATTTCGATCGCGGGTTACAATATCATTGCTCATCGGGTGTTGCTTTATTTGCAATACCGATCACTTTGATCGCGTTTCAATGAATTGTGTTATTCGAGGGACCGCGAAAAAA